GCACCGGTCTCTATGGTCTTCTCCAAGCCAGTATGGAGCACCGGTCTCTATGGTCTTCTCCAAGCCAGTATGGAGCACCGGTCTCTATGGTCTTCTCCAACCTCTCAACAGAGGGGGGACACTGAGGCCCAGGGAGTCCCTGGCTCAGAACATGAGCTCCATCCACTCCCAGATCCTCTGGCTCCTGGCCACTCAACAGGCCACGTTTGTCGGGAAACACTCAAAAGCCAAAGGGGTGTTACAGCCCCGCAGCGGCCCGGCTCCCAGGCCACTAGCCTCACCCAGCAGGGCCAGCCTCCGCAGCTGCCAGTGACAACAATGTCTGGGTGTTAACCCCCCCGGGGCTGGGGCCTGAGCTGGCGGAGTGGCCAGGTCATCTGCTCAGAGACCCAGCGGGGGCTCCTGCGTTGGGGGCGAGAATGTGGGGCGGCTCAGGAGGGGGCTTGGGGCTCAGCACACTGCGAGGGCAGCCCCTCCTCCTCGGCCCAGGCCTCGGTGGCCAGGTGAGAGCCCCAGGGAGGAGGCCATCCTGGTGTCGCTGGCGGCAGGGGCTCCCGCGTCTGCCCCACGCCTCAGCTGCGTGCCGAGAATGAGCTCCTGTGTCCTCGCTGTTCCCAGCCCCGTCCTGAGCTGCCCCTGTCCCCGGGGGAACATCCACCCCTGGTAGCACCCATCTCAGCCCCCCCAGTCCCTCAGAGCCTCCTGAGTAAACCAGAGCCTGGTCTGCAGCCTGCCCACCTCCCGGGCAGCTAGAGCTGCGCTGACAACCAGGAGGGCAGCGACCCTCGGCCTCAGGTGGCCCACTGGCCCCTGTGAGGGCTGGGAGTTATGGAATGTTCTAGCAGGCCAGGTGCTGCCCAGGAAGGCTTTCCATGAAGTGTTCCCAGCAAACTGCCCAGAGAGAAGGGCCCAGGTCTCCTTGTGCTTTGGCTTCCTGATTTCAAGAAGGGCTCACTCTCTCTCTTTTGGAGATTTATTTATTTATTTGAAAGGGAGAGAGAGAGAGAGAGAGAGAGAGAGAGAGAGAGATATCTTCCATCTGCTGGTTTGTCGCTCCCCCTCTTCACGGAGGAACCACACAGGACCCTGCGCTGTTCTTTTGTCTGCTCGGCCCTTCCCGGGTTTGCTGCTGGTTCTTCCCAGGTTGGCTACCGACCCTTCCACCTCCGTGGAAGGGAGGTTCCCCCTGCCACCTTCCCCACTTCCGCGAGGGAGCGGCACACCGCCGGCCGGCTCTCTCAGGGGCTGCTCAGATGTTATCCGGATGTTCCCCTTAGATGTTCCTGGTGCATGTTGTCTCTCTCCTCCTTTATAGTCCTCTTCCACCAATCCCAACTCTGCTACCCACACGCCGAGTACGCTGCTCTCCTCCAATCAGGAGCAGGATCAGCTCCTGCAGGTTATTGGTCGAACTGGAAGCAGCTGTGTAGAAGCTGTTTACTCCTCTCCCAGCGCCATATTGTGGGAGAGCAGATGCATAGAATAAGTCTTAATTCCAGTAGCTTAGTCTAGTCCGAGTTGCTCCCCACTCTGGTTCACTCCCCAAATGGCTGCAATAGCCAGGGTTGGACCAGGCCAAAGCTGGGGCCAAGAGCTTCATCTGGGTCTCCTATGTGGGTGCAGGGACCCCAGCACTTGGGCCATCCTCTGCTGCTTTCCCAGGTGCATTAGCAGGGAGCTGATCGGAAGTGGAGCACCGGGACTTACACCAGTGCCCATAAGGGATGCCGGTGTTGCTGGCAGTGGGTTTAACCGGCTGTACCACAGCGCCAGCTCCCCTGTTCACTTTCATCCACCCTTTGTATTTTTTTTTTTTCTAAAAGAAGGACTCAAAGCCAGCAAGTCACTGTCCACGCAGCTGGACCCTCTCGCCCCATGCTCAGCTCTTCTGTGGCTTGCTGTGCTCTCAGGGACAATGCCAGGCCCCTTGTGATCGGGCCCCAGACCACTGCCACTGTGCCCCTCCTGTCCCCCCACCCGAGCCTTCGGCGCCGCCTGCGGGCTCCGTCATCTCACCTGGGCTGCTCCAGATGCTTCCAGCCTGGGGCCCTGTTTCTGAACTCTTGAGCCTTAAAGCAACTCCGACGGGGCGGGCGCTTGGTGCCGTGGTTAAGGTGCCCCTGGGGTGCCCGCGTCCCGTACCGCAGTGCCCGGTTCCAATCCCAGCCCCTCCTCCACTTCCGGTCCAGCTTCCTGCTAATGTGCAAGGCAGGAGGCAGCTCATGAAGACTCAGGTGCTTGGGCCCCTGCCACCCACGTGGGAGACCCAGATGGAGTTCCAGGCTCTTGGCTTTGGCCTGGCCCAGACCTGCTACTGTGGCCATTTGGGAGCTGGAAGATGTTCCTCGCCCTCAGCCCCATCACGCTGCTAAAAACATAAAGGAATCTTTCAAAAAATAATAGAACAGGGGCCAGTGTTGTGGTACAGCAGGTTAGGCTGCCACTTGTTGGAGCGCGGGTTCGAGTCCCGGCTGCTCCACTTGCAATCCAGCTCTCTGCGAATGCACCTGGGAAAGCAGTGGAAGATGGCCCAGGTTCTGGGGCCCCTGAACCCACGTGGGAGACCCAGATGAGTGCCTGGTTCTTGGCTCCTGGCTTTGGCCTGGCCCATCCCCGGCCACTGCGGCCGTTTGGGGAGTGAACCAGCAGATGTAAGATCTCACTCTCTGTCACTCTGCCTTTCACATAAATAACTAAGTCATTTATTTATTTAAATATATTTGTTTATTAAAAATAAGATGATACATCGGGGCAGGGGGTGATCATTTGCCCCGCAGCCGTAGATGGCAAATCCACCGGCCCTCGCCCGGCACGGTCCCTCTCTCACCCTTATGCAGCTCCGTTGTCCTCAGCTCTGTGAGCTGCCTGGGAGACCTCACTGCCCTGTCTGTCTCCCCTGGGGCTGCCTCTGAGGCCTGCGTCACTCCCCCGGCCTCGTCCCACCCTCCCTAGCCCAGTGCCGGCTGCCCGCAGTCACCAGCCCTGGCTCATTGAATGAATGAATGAGTGAGAGGTGAAGCAATGCAGGGTACGCAGCAGTGGGTTCTGGCGGGCGGGAGGGGACCCACTCGTCCCAACGCCAGCGCCCTAGGGCTCACCGCCCCTCTAAGCAGGGACTGGGGACCCTGGTGTCCCTACCCCGAGGCCTGGGCTTGGCGGACAGCGCCCAGGGTTGGGCTCCTGGCGTCCTCTGGGGAGAGCGTGCCGCAGCCCCAGCCCCTGCGGTGCGGCTCGCCCATGGCCTCCGTTTCTGCAGTTGGCTGGAGATCTGCTCAGCGCCTCACTTCACAACACTCGTTTGGTAGGAAGCCTTCTCCAGCCCACGTGGTCCCAATTTTTGTCTGGAAAACAGTCCTCGTGCCCGCAAAAAGGAAAGGGCTGCCGAGCCCAGTCCCCTCCTGGCCCGGTCCCCAATGGGTCCCAGGCTGTGCCAAGGACTGGGAGGCTGGGGCATCTTCCAGCAAAAACACAGGGCCCCGACTGGAGCCCAGAGCCCGGAGCCCAGTCTGGGGCTGGCAAGGGGCTGGCCCTGTGCCCAACCAAGTGCGCCATTTCCTCCTCGTCTCCCGCCAGCTTCCTATCCATTGCGAGTGAGCACAGTGCTCCCAGGCCAGGCTGGATTGGGGGAGGGGGCTTCCTCCCTCTGGGACCACACCCTGGACCGAGAGGCCTGATGGTAGGGTAGGACCGGGAACAGAGTTCAGAGGTCAAGGTCGAGCTGTCCTGGGGTGACCATGTCTGGGGGAATGTGACTGCCCTGGGGTCCTTCTAGTACCTTCTGCAGGCCGCCCCTGCCACCCGACTGCCCTGCCTCTGCTGCCCCACGAGGGCCACAGGCCAGCAGGCTCCTCTGCTCTGGGCAGAGCCCTGGGTTGAGGTCTTCCATCCCTGTGCAGCCCGACAGCCCCGGCCAGGAGGAGCCCAGACGCTGCTGGATGAAAGGTGGGCTAGAGCACATTCGTGAAACTGCCTGGGGCGCTCCTGCTCCACCCTGGGAGATTCCCCAACTCCACGCCCTCCACAGAACCCCGGGCAGCAGGGAGCCCGCAAAGCCCCTGAGCTCTGGAGCTCAAGGCCACCTGGACCCAAACTCTGGCCACTTATGACCTGGGGGCCCCTGAGCAGTTACCTAACCTCTGTGAGCCTCAGTTTCTGAACGGGAAAAAGGGGTCTCATTCCCTGCCCCTGGGGGCCGGTGGGAAAGTGAAGTGTGCTCATCCAAGTGCCTGGCACACTGTGGTGCTCAGAGCCGGACAGCAGCTTGCCTGGGCACACAGAACTTAGGCTGGGGCCAGCACTGTGGCGTAGCGGGTAAAGCTGCAGTCTGCAGTGCCGGCATCCCATACGGACGCCAGTTCAAGACCCGGCTGCTCCGCTTCTGATCCAACTCTCTGCTGTGGCCTGGGAAAGCAGTAGAAGGTGGCCCAAATCCTTGGGCCTCTGCACCAGCGTACTAGACCCAGAAGAAGCTCTTGGCTTCTGGCTTCTGGCTGGGATTGGCCTAGCTCTGGCCATTGTGGCCATTTGGGGAGTGAACCAGAAGATGGAAGACCCCCCCCCCCGCTTCTCTGTAACTCTGCCTTTCAAATAAATAAAAAAATAAATTAAAAAAAAAAGAGGTAGAGGAGCTGGCGCCCCACCCTCTGGCCTCCACGCACTGAGCCCTGAATGGGCTGAGATGGGAAGGACCCTCATGTTCTTAGATAAGTCAAGGTCAGGGCTGAGCCCCCAGGAGAGGCCCCAGCTGCTTCGTGCTCCCGTCAGCTGCTCCTCAGTGGGGAACGGGATGGGAGGTGGGCACCACGCACCCAGACTGCAAGCTGGTGTTAGGCCGAGCGTGTCCATGCCCTCCACCCCTGCCCCTTCCCGCCCCACGCTAGCTCTGCTCTGTCTGCAAGCAGCTCTGTGGCTTGGGGGATCCAGCCCCACCAGCCTCAGACTTGTCTCCCCAGACGGCCCGAGAGCCGTGTGACCTCAGCGAGGCTCTTTCCCTCTCTGTGTGTGATAGGAAGCCTGGTTGTCTTTATTGTTTGCAGAGGGAGGAGGCAGGGAAAGGGGGCAGCCGGGGCTCCTTGTCCCTCCGCCTGTGCCCACCTGCCCACCCCAGGGTCTCAGAGTGCCCCTCATCTGCCCGAAGCAGGGGCCGGGAGAGCCCCACCAGTCTCCAGTGTCCAAGGTCGAGGCCTCGCAGGTCAGACTCCGGGTTCTCCTGATGCAGGTCAGGAGGGCGCCGTCTCCCGGGGCTGGGCGGGTGCAGGGGGCTGAGTCTGGCTTGGACTTGACCTTGACTGCCTCTGGGATGGGAAGTCCTGCGGGAGGGAGGGGGAAGGGCTGCAGGACACTGCCTGCCCCCCCCCCCCGAGACCTTCCCATTCGGGGCCTCCGGGGGCCACTGGGGGTCGGCGGGGCCCGGCTCCAGGGCGTTGGGGTAGCAGCTCCTTCTGTCCCCAGTCCTGAAGGAGGCCACCTCGAGACCCCAGGGCTGTGTGGAGCAGGGCGTCGGGGTGGCGGGAGCGGGGGCTCACCTGCATGTGGCAGAGGTCAAGCAGCGTGCGGACGCCCACGAGACACCAGAGTTCAGCCAGCAGCGAGATGAGGAGGCCCAGGAGGTCCAGCCAGCGGCCCACGGTCAGCAGCAGCACGAAGAGACCGCCCATGCGCACCAGCACCGTCTGGACCTGGCCCCGCATGCCCGGGTTCTGCCGCTGCTCCTCTGGGGACAGGCGCACCTGTCACGGTCACTCCTGCCCCTCCCCTTGCAGCCCCACTCTCCGACCACCTGCAGGGCACCGGGCACTCCTACCGCCCCCTCACTACCTCCTCCCAGGTCTCCCTCGGATCTGGGTAAGAGACCCCAGCCCGGGAGTGGACCTGACCCCCACCTCCCCAGGGAGCCCTGGGGCTCCTTGCCCGCGCACAGCCCGGTTCCCACTGCCCCTCCCTGCCTCCAGCCACTTCCTCTCTGCTCCTGTCCCTGCAGCCCCTGTTGGCTGCCCAGCTAAAGTGACCTCTGCACCCATCAATGAGGTCCCGGCTCTGCCCGTACCCCTGCCAGGACTCCCCTGCCTCCGAGGGCCCGCCTCCTCCCCAGCCTCGCCTCCTCCCTGCCTCGCTCCCCCGTGGTCCCTGTCTGTAGCCGTCCCAGCTTTCTCCCTGTTCACAGAGCACACTATGCTCACGCCCACCTCAGGGCCTTTGCACTGCCGTTCGCACTGCCTGGGGGGCCCTTCCTCACCCTGCGGCTTCCATCCCACCCCAGCTCTGCAGCCAGGAGCCTCCTCCTAGGGCCCGGCTCAGTCTCCCCTGCGTAAAGCCCTGTGAGGGTCCTCGCACGACAGCTCGGCCTGGCCGATGAGGGTGCTCGATGCTGGCCACTCATCTCTTCCCGGTGCCCTGGGGCGGCTCCCTGCAGTTGCCACGCCTTCACTCACTCTGGGCGTGGCTTGTTCTGGAGCCCACAACCCCCCACCCCCACCCCTGCCTTTCTCAGTGAGCTCCATCTCCAAGGCCCAATCCCAGCACAGCTCCTCGGGGCCCCCAGGTGGGAGCACCCTTCTCTGTGGTGTGGCCTCTGCCCCTGGGCCCGGCTCCCTGGGAGGCAGGGATAGGCCAGGGCCTGGGCCTGCAGGCGGTGGGATGTGATGGCGATGGAGAGGACCCAGCCCCCGCCGGCGCCCCACCTTGCATGTGGATGACCAGCAGTGTGTAGCAGATGCTGAGCGGCGTCCAGAAGCGCACGGCCTCCGAGGTGGTCAGGAAGTCCCGGTTGATGAGGGCCACGGCCGCCACGTCGCCCACGGCAAAGGCCACGGCCAGGGCGCGGCCCAGCAGCCTGGGGAGGCCGCGCGCGCCGGCCAGCAGGCCCAGGCAGACGCCGCAGGAGCGCTGGCCGCTGTGCAGCTCGTACAGGCGGCAGACGTGGTGGCGGAGGCGCCGGGCGGCCGAGGCGAGCAGAGCGGCCAGCCCGAGGCTCAGCAGCAGGTTGAGCGTGCGGTGGGGGGCGCCCTCCTGCAGGAAGCTCAGGCCGCAGCTCAGCCCGCAGCCCAGCGAGTACTGGCAGAGCAGGAAGAGCCGCAGCCTCTCCTGGGTGTCCTGGGAGCCCTGCGGGGGAGGTGGCGGCTGTCCTGTCGGGAGGGGGACACAGCACAGGCGGCCAGAGCCCCAAGGGTCCCCGGAAACGGAATATAGGCTCCAGGTAAGCCCTACAGGGTCATTCTCTCGCCTGGGTTCTGATCACGTGCCTGGCACCCATTTGTTAGCTCAAGGATCGTGGTGCGGAGCCTGGAAGACCTGGGTTAAAAGCCCGACTCTATCGGCTGCTGGGTGACCTTGGGCCTCGGTTTCCCCATCTGTGAAAAGGTGTCACGGCAAACCTTTATCCTGGACGGCGGCGATGTCTTCTAGTGCGGGCCTGGCATTTGACAAGCTGGAGGCACAGGCACCGCTGCTGTTTTCTCGGGACAGGGGCGGGACCCACGGGGCCCCTAGACTTGTCCTGGCCCATCAGAAGCCCCGGGTGCAAACCGCAGCCTTTCTTCTGCACCCCCAGGAGAGGGGCTCCTGTGGGCTCCGTCCTCCCCGTGCCTGCCTCGTGCCAGGGCCAGGGGCTCACTCACCCACTGCGCCCCCTGCAGTCTCACCTTGCTCAGGGTCAGCAGTGTGGACACAGCCCGCAGGGAGAACTCCAGCACCACCAGGGCGGCCACCCGGACCCCCACGACAGCCAGGAGCAGGGCCAGCCCTGCCAGGTGCAGCGTCTCCAGCAAGGACCACTGGGCCCGCAGCCGGTCCATCTGAAGCCGCCACTCGGGGTCACTGTGGGCCACAGCGCACGTGGCAGTCACTCCCTCCAGTGGCCTCAGCCCCGGGAGGGAGTCCCTGAGCCACCAGCCACACCCACTGTGGTCGGGGGCAGGGGTGGTCTCTCCCAGAGAGACCAGTCACAGCACAGGACCCAGGGGCCTGGCAAGGGGCTGGGGCCGGGGGGAAGGGCCGTGGGCACTCACTTGGCACAGCCCACGAAGAAGTAAACCCGCAGGAGGTTGCTCAGGACAGAGACTCCGCAAGCCCCGACGAGGCCTGGGCGGGTGGGAGATGCATCAGGTGCTGGGCGTCAGGCGGGGTCCTGGTGGCCAGAGACCCACGTGGGTGGGGCCCACCTGCAGGGGGCGGAGCTGAGGCGGAACGGGGAGGGGCGCTCACCTCGCAGGAGACAGTCGAGGAGGCTGGAGCCCCACTCGAGGGAGGGGAGGCCGGGGAGCCAGGAGGGGAGGTCCGGCAGGGAGAACATGGCAGCCCGGGGTCCAGCCCCAGCCTCCCCGCCAGGTCTGCGCAGAGACACTGACGTCACCGGGCAAAGGTGTCGGCAGAGGGGTGGGGAGGAGCCAGGAGGGGTCAAAGGCCCAGGGCAGGAGGGAGACAGAGGCCTTAACCCTTCCAGCCCATAGGAAAGTCCCGGCTCCAGGGACAGCAGCCTTGGGCAGCGTGGGTTGAGGGGTCTCTGCCCCTGCTCAAGTCTGGGATCCCCTGAACCACGCCTTCCTGAAGTCCCAGGTCTGGGTCCTGCCTACTCTTGGTGTGTGTAACGCATGGGCTCTGCCCTCAGCCCCAGGTTGATTTCCGGCACAGCCTGGGTTTCCCAGGCCTGGAGTCTGGCTCCGCCCCTTCTGAGACCGGCCAGGCCCTGACGTTCCACACCCAGTGGTGGGGTCCCTTCCTCACTCCGCCATCTCTCAGGCCCTGGGACGGCTCGTCTTGCAGTTCCTCCCAGGGTCCACGAGGTGGCAGGCTTCACCTGGGCCAACCAGGGTGCGACCTCCTCCCACCCTCTTCCCAGACAGCGAGCACCGAGGGGCGGAGGGATCCGGGGGTGGGGCACCAGGGATAGGGGTGAATGAAGCCGCCAGAGAGGAATGGTGAACGTAAACAAAATAGAAAACTTTATTGGAGTGTGCAGTAGTCCGTGGGCGTGGGAGCAGCTCCGCCCGGCCACGGGGCACGGCAGGGAAGGCGCCGGGGCTGCGGGTTCCTTCCAGGGAGCTGTGGTGCACTCTGCAGTCCAAAGGTCAGGGCGGGCCTCCCGAGCACACCCGTGGCAGGAACGTGGCCATCCCGAGAAGAGCCTAGGGCCTCTATGGCCCGAGTGCCAGCCCTGCCTTGCAGCCCGCCCGGGCACGCCACCTGCTTCGCTGGGCCCACCTTCTGGCCTGTGCAAAGGCCCACAGTGCTGGGCACCTCAATCAGAGCCCTGGCTGCCCGCGTATGGGCCCGCCTGTGCGGTCCTGTGTGAGAGGCCCAGCCCCAGCTCCTCCCCGGCTGGGACTGCAGAGACAGGAGCGCAGAGGGCACGCAGGGTCAGCAGGAGGACCCTCGTCCATCCCACGGGACTGGTGTCCTTGTAAGAAGGGCTGGGGACAGGTGCTTCCGGGAGGAGGCGGCATCTCCACGCCCAGGGACGCCAACCCTGCTGAAGCCCCGCACTTGGACTTCCCGCCTCCAGAGAGTGAGAACTGTCCACTGTCCACACCAACCAGACGGGTGGTGTCCACACCAACCAGACGGGTGGCGAGGCCCGGCCCCGTGCTGCAGCCGCCGTCATCCTGGCCCCCAGAGTCATTGCCAAGGGTGGCGAGAGCTGAACCCCAGCCCGGGCTCTGTCGCTCAGAGCCATGTGGCTTCGGTCAGAGCAGCGTCACCCTCCCCCACCCCCAGCCCGGGCCTCAGCTGGCTTGGGGCAAAGGATCTTAGGCGTTTCATCGCGTTTCGGGGCCAGACCCGCGGATGTCCCTGTGTCGCCCAGCCGGGGAGACTCTCACACCTGCCACAGTGATTCTAACACTGGCCAGGCTCTGGGGAGTGGAGACCCAGCACACTCAAGGCAGCGCCCAGAGTCGGTGGGCCTGAGGGGCTGTGGCCGGCGGGGGACAGCCAGTCCTGCTGGCGTGGGCGGTCCTTCCGGGCCCCTAGGCGCGCTGGTGCTGGACCTGCAGGGCCGCCTTGCGGAGCTCGTCCCAGAGGAACATGCTGAGGATGGTGTGGGGGCCCAGGCGCAGGTAGGCGGGGCCCAGCCCCTTGTAGAGCGCCAGGGGCCCCTCCTGCCGCCAGATCTTCAGCAGGCAGTCGGCGAGGCCCCCGTACAGCTGGCCCTGGGGACAGACGTGGGGCGAGTGTCACGGCAAGGGCACACCCGGGAGTGACTGCTGCCATCAGAAAAGGGCCCCACTTGGGGGCTGGCGCCATGACGCAGGGGGCTAAGCCCCCACCTGCAGCGCCGGCATCCCATGTGGCCACCAGTTCGAGACCAGGCTGCTCTACTTCCGATCCAGCTCCCTGCTCATGTGCCTGGGAGAGCACTGGGAGATGGCCCAGTCCTCGAGACCCTGCACCCAGGTAGGAGCCCTGGACAAAGCTCTGGCCAAGCCCCAGCTGTTACAGCCATTTGGCAGGTGAGCTGGCAGATGGAAGATCTCTCTCTAACTCTGCCTTTCAAATAAATAAAAACACTTAAAAATAAAAATAAAAAACTAAAACAGGCCCCACCTCCAGCTGGGCCTCCAGGCTGCCACATTAGGGTTGGGGGGCCTCTTCCTCCAGGCAGCCACAGCCCCAGGCCAGGAGACTCAGCATGGCTGATGGCGCACAGGCACCTTCAGATTGGGGGCATCGCGGAAGGCCTGGCTCCCTGCTCACAAGCTGGGGGACCCCAGGAGAGACGCTTCACCCCCAACTGTCCGTTTCCTCTTTAGGAAAGGATGGGATAGGATCCTGTGAGGAAGGGCTTAGCACCTGTGTTGGCGCTCGCTCGGCAAAGCAGCCCGATTCCTGTGTGCATGTGTGTGTGTGCACCCGTGTGTGCGTGTGTGTGTGCGCGCGGTGGGAGGGAGACCCAGCCGCCCATCCTCCCGACCCCGGCCCCCGCTCACCTTGCCAGCCCCATCCACCGGCTGATTGTACAGCCGCGTGCTGACCACGTCGAAGGGGGTCATGACGGCCACCACGGCTATGCTGCTGACCATGCCCCCGGCCAGGGCCACCAGCCAGCTGTCCTCAGGGAGCCACTGTGGGGATGCCAGAGCCCGCTGATCGCGTGGCGCCCTTCCAGCCCCCAGCACAAAGGGGGCCGGAAAGGCTGGGGTCCCTGGAACAGGCGAGTCCCCAACCACCATTATCCCCCCAACCACCCTGAGCCCCTCACAGCTCCACGGAGCCAGCTGACCCCCACTCAGATGGCAGAGCCCAGCCCCCAGCCCAGCGCCCTCTGTTGCCACCCTGGAGCTCCCTGCGTGGAAGGAGGCAGGCACCCCTCCCCCCACTCCTGCCCGCCCCTCACCTGTCGCTCCTGCACCCAGGCCTTGGCAGAGGCGAAGGTAGCCAGCTGGGCGGCCGAGCCCACCATGACGCGGGGCACGGCCCCGCCCACGCCCCGCCACAGCCCCAGCAGGCCTTGCTGCCGCCAGATGGTCTCCAGGGCGCCCAGGACGCTCTGTGGGAGGGCACAGGGTCAGCCGGGGAGCCCCACCAGCCAGCCCTGCCCAGGACGCTCTGGGGAGGGGGTGCCCACCTCGTGCTGGTGCTGGTGCCCCACGGCCATGGCGGCCACCGTCTGGGCCTGCAGCTGCGTTTTGACCTGCGAGGACACAGCGGGTGAGGGGCTGGGGACGGGTCAGTGCCTGAGGAGGGTCCCTCACTGTGACCCCACGCCTGACGGGGCTGGGGGTCAGCCTGCACTTGCACCTCCGTGGGACTGCAGAACGTCTGATCAGTGCACTGCACGGCACTCATCTGTGACGTACACAGGCCCCTGGCCAGAAGCGAGCGAGCCGGGATTCGAGCCAGCTCCTCTCCTGCCACCCTCTCGCCTCCTCCCCTGGCTGAGGACTGGCAGGGCAGGGGCCCCAGGAGTGAGGGTCAGGGCAAGGCCCCGGTATACAGATTCCAAGCCCCACCTGCCGGCCCCACCCAACCCAGGGCCACTAAGCCCAACCCCTGCAGAGTCCTTGGGATGGGGTGGGGTAGGACAATGCACTTACCAGGTAAGCAGGGCTCCCCACAAAGGCTCCTAACGCCCCAGCCACGGCCCCAGCCACCACGGTGCCGCCCGGCTGCTGGGTGAGGCCCACCTGGCACGCCAGGCTGTAGCAGTAGAAGCGGACTCCGTTCATGAGGCCCTGGTAGAGGAGGCCGGCGGCCAGCCCCTTCTGCAGGCCCCACAGCCCATCTGCACGGGCCACTGCAACCACCGAGGCCACCAAGCCCCGGTAGGGCCTCTGGTAGGTGCCCCGGGCCTGCAGCTCCCCCTGCAGCTGCAGCCGCGTCTTTACCACCTCCAGGGGGTTGGTGAAGACACAAGCCAGGCAGCAGGCCGAGGCACCCAGCACCAGGTCCACAGCTGGGGGCACTGTCTCCATGGACTCGGCGCCAGGGGCCGGCCGAGCCCAGGTCAAGGGCACGGCACGGGCCCTGGGGTGCTGGCGTCTAGGCTGTCTGCGCCCCCTTGGGGCCACAGGACTGACGACCCAGGGAACCTGGGGCCATGTCTAGAGGGACAGGTCCTCAGCAGCCTGCGGTCCCGGGCGTCTCAGAAACTCACTGGCTCAGCTCCTCAGAGCCGGTGGAGCCTGGGACTCGCCACACCCCTGCTGGCTCTGACCAATCCCAGCTGCCTCTGGCCGGGGCGGGCCTGGACCCTGGGATCTGGGGGAAAGGTCAGTTGGTGCTGGAGGGCGAATGGGGGTGGGGGAAGGTGCCTGCCCTTCCTCGTCCCGCCCTCCCCTGGCTCAGCCTGTCCTGCTCCAGCTCAGGGCCCTGGGCATGGACAGCGCCCCAGGAAGCCCTTGGCACAGGGTGCAAGGGAAACCCAGCAACCGCCTCCCTCTGCCTGCCGCCACCTGTGTGGCTTCCCCTTCCCAGGCCTCAGCCTTACCAACCCGGCTCCTGCAGTCTGCGGTCCCGCTCGCGGGCCCTGGGACCTGGTTTTGCTCCCATGTCCAGGAGGGGTCCTCCAAACGCTCATGGCACGTGCCATGGATGGATCCCATGCGTGGATCTCAAAACTATTTTGCACCAAAATAAAATTGTCTTTCGATTCCATTTTCCCAGGCTCTCTGGAGGCCCCTCACGTGTTCCTGCCACTTTAGCCTCACTGTGGGCACCCTCAGCGCACGCGCTCTCTGGCTCTCCCGAGAGGGGGACTTCATCTTCTAAGGCGGCTGCGGCACAGACGATCCTTGCTGAAGTCGAGTGACAGTGACCTAGATGCCAGCACCGCACCCCACTACCGCCGATCCTACAACCAGGGCGGTACCACGTGGCTCACGGGCAGTGGCGCACGTGGTGTTGTGACGCCGGCAGAGGGACGAGGTGCCTCCCGGGCGGAGGTCTCCCCACACCGCCCAGAACGCCGCACGGTTTAAAAAGAATGAACTGCCCGTTTCTGGAATTTGTCCGTTTACTCTGTGGGAGACCGCGGGTGCCCGGCACTGGGCTGCGCCCCCGCTTGGGCTCCCAGGATCTGGGGATGAAGAGCGAGGGCCGCTGGGTCTCGGGGTGCAGCCTTCGGCTTCAGGTGCTTGGCCAGGAAGGGCTCGCCCATCAGGCCCTCCCCACCTCCCGGGCTGGGGCAGGAGGCCAGGCCCTGGGACAGGAATGGCCCCCTGTGCCTGGGGAGATGGGGACTCCCACCGCAGGGCACTGCTGGGGGCGCCGTCTGTCCCCAAGGTGGTTCTCTCCCCCAGGCCACGTGAATCACCCGTCTCAGGTGAAGCCAGAGGCAGAGCGGCAGCCCCTGGGACCCCGCAGCTTTGCGGCCTCCACCCCACCTCCTCCTGTGTCCTTGTCCTCGCAGGTGTGAAGCGGTGGCAGGCTTGGCATCCTCGGGCCAGTCCCCAGGGGACAGCTTGCACATGTCTGGATGCATCCCAAGAGCAAGTGATACCCACCCTGCAGGCTGTGGAGACGGGGACGGCAGGGAGCTGCTGCCCAGGGCTGCGTGGGCAGGCAAGGGGACGGCGCTGGCCAGCGGGCCCTGGCAGCACATCCCGCCCTGGGGCAGGAGCTTGTGGCGGCCTCTGCCCCGGTCCCAGCAGGAACCCAGAGGGAGGGCAAAGGTCAGGCCAAGAAACTCCCAGGGCACAAAGCAGACCCTGGAGGATGTCTGTAGACAAGGGGTTCGACCCCAGCCCACCCAGCTCACAGACGGCCAGGCACGAGTCTTGGCAATATAACGTCTATTTTATTTTAAAAAACAAACCCAAACCACCTGACCCGTTCCCCAGAGGGCTCCTGACAGAGCTCCCGGGCAGGGCCTGGCTCCAGCCAAGCAGGGGCCGGTGAGGGGTCGTCACTGTGGACACCAGGCTGCGGGCTCCGCTCCCCTCCGGCCCCTTCCCCCTGCTCTTTGCTCCTCATCCCTGGGTCCTGTGGGCACTGCAGGGTGGGGGAGGCGGGGGCGGGGCCGTGGGCATGCAGGGCCTCGTGGCAGCCTGGGCGGGCGGCCCCGCCAAGGCGCTGGGCTCCGGCGAGGCGGCAGCTGTGCGTGGGGCTGGGTGAGTGAGGGCACATGCACAGTCACAGGTGTCCCAGCCTCCCTGCGCGGCTGGAAGTGCTCAGAGACAAACAAGGACAGCTGGGCACCCACGGTCCCCAGGAGGCCCCGAGCCTCTGCCCGGGCTCCTGCCCCAGGAAGTCCTTTCACTCCCCCGCCCCCCAGATGGATTTCCCCTCATCACCATCGGAGGCGGCGGCCTGGGGGAGGGCGTGTGACCACAGAGCCCACAGGGCTCAGTCCCTCTGCCCAGCGACCCGCAGTCGCTACCAGCCGGGCACCCGTTCCAGGTCCCAGGAGTGTCCCCAGCACACAGCGTGCTGCCGCCTGGGGCAGGGTGGACTGCCGAATGGTGTGGAGGCCTGGCCCCGCGCGGTGCCTGACCCGGCTGTGACAGTGAGCCTGCTGGCCGGCCACCTCCCGTTCCCCCCACCAGGGGTGCCGCCCAGCCCTGCCTCAGCACCAGGGGTCGCGGGAGGCTCTGCCACGGCACAGGCTGTCGCTCCGCTGCCAGGCGCCGTGGATGAGGCTCAGGGCGTCCTCAAACTTCTGCTTGCTGGCGGCTTCGTGGATGGCCTTGTGGGGGAGGTCCACCTGAGGGGCCGGGCAGGCAGCAGGTGTAGGCTCCAGTCCCAGTGGCCACGGCGGCTCCCAGCTCGGCTGTGGCCACGGACCCGTGAGGCCTCCCTGGCCAGATTCCAGGCCTCTCCCCGGGAAACACTTCCAGGCTGCTAGACTCCCCTGCTATACCAAGAGTGGCTCAAACTGGCCAAGGGGCGGTGGCCCCTGGTGGCCCTGTGCAGGACAGCACTGCCCAGGACCATCCCCAGCCCTGAGTGAGGCCAGAACACAGCACGTGCTCAGAACCCACCCATCCAGGGTTTAATGCTCCGAGGGCCGGCACAGTCCTGCAGGCCTGTGCCCCATCAGCTGGGCACGGCTCCAGCCCACATTAAGCCCGGAGCCCAGGCTTGGATCGGAGCTGAGATCAGGAACTGTATTTCCCGGGTTCTGTTTTCAGCTTTCACTGGGACTCGCTGGGGGTCCTAAGTTCGTGTGTCTGTCCCTGAGCTGCTGTCCCCGGACCCTCACAGCAGGTCCTGAGGGCAGGTGGGGGCTCCTTCCCGCAGGGAGGGGCTCCCGGGCAGCTGGTACCTGGTAGATGGTTCTCCAGCTGGAGCTCAGTGCAGACAGGAACCGGTCCAGTTCCGAGGTGCAGCTCAGGTAGATGACCCACGGTGGGGGCAGCTGCTGGCCCTCCTGGGAGAACTCCTGGGGAGGCAGGCCCCGTGAGCAGATGGGGCTTCCCTTCTGTGGGGCTGCCCCCATCACCCCCCCTGCTCACCAAGACACAGTACTCCTTGCCCGGCTCCAAGGAGACAGCGCTGACGTCAGCCAGCCTGGCAGTGCCCAGGGAGCGGAAGAAGCTGGTCTGGCAATCCTCGTGGCATGTGAAGAGGCGGTCGTCGGTGATCACCAGGCAGCAGGGGATGCAGGGGCTAGGAGCGACCCCCTGGGGGATAACCTGCAGCATTGGGGGCGGGGATGGGCAAGCTGGTGCTCCCGGGCTGGCCTGGACCAGGCTCTTGGTCAGGGCCCCAGCCAGCCCCTCTGACAAGCGCCGGCCACCTCGGAATGTAGGTGGGGATGGAGTGACAGTGACCTGGGCCAGGCTGCAGGTGGCCCGGTCTCCGGGTCTGTTCCTGGGCTACCCCAGAGGTCCCCCGGCCTCCCAGATTGCTCTGTGACTGGTGTGGACGCGGGGACGGGACCCTGCAGGCACTCACCCCTTTGGACACGGCCTGGCAGAGGTGCTGCATCCAGTCGGCCATCTCGGCCTCGCTATCGGCGCTCAGCTCCAGACAGGGCCGGTCGGCAAGAATGACCTGGAAGGCGTGGGGCCGATCCGTGGTGTTGGATCTCCGGCAGCCACCGCACTGCTCCCCCCTGGGCCAGAGGAGGAGGGGTGAAACGGGGCGAGGAGGCAGAGGCGGCCAGGGCCCCTGGGGCTGCCTGGGGGCTGGGGGGCACGGGACGGCTGTGGCAGCCCCACCCCTTTCTGTGCAGCACCCTTTATCCCTGTGAATCACCATCAGCTTTCTAGGCACCCACACAGGGTGTGGGCGGGGGTGAGGTCTAGCCTCGGCACTCAGGTGTTGATCCACACCACCTCTCAAGGCTGAGGGCCTGTGTGTCTACCTCCCAGCGGGCCGGGAGCTTCCTGGGAAGCGGGACCCTTGCTGGCCCGCGGCAAACCCGGGGCCCCGGCAGGGCTGGCTTATGGGGGCTGCCGAGGATCGGCCATCTCAGCACAGGGAGAACACGAGCTCTAGGCCCGGGCTCAGCTGGAACCTTGACCTTCAGGCAGCAAGGCCTGGCCCTGACCCTTGCCCAGCACCGCCCACCTCCTGGGACACTCACCCCATGTTCACGGAGAGCAAGGGGATGACGTCGGTGCGCTCCGGGTACTGGTAGAGGATCCCGTTGCTGCGGGGCACAACACGGCAAGGGTAAGGCCTGCCCATGCACTGGGGGCCAGGCGGGGCCCAGAGCCCAGGGGTCCCTCACAGGCTGTGGTCACGAAGACCAGGGGAGGGAGGGTAAGGAAGGGATGGGGGAAGCACAGCTAAGGTGTCGTCCGCGGGACCCACCCGAGGGTGCCTGGGTCCCCGGGGGGACAGGCTTGTGCAGAAACCCTAGCAGCCGGGCGCGTCTACTCCTCAGCCCCGGCTAGAAGGGAGGGCTCCTCCTCGGGCCCCTCCGCAGTGACCTGCCAGAGGTCCACGCTGCGGCGTGGGGGAGCCGCTGGGCTCTACCTGAGCACCACGAAGCAGGTCTTCCAGTGCTCCTTGCCCAGGTAGGAGGTGCCCGCCTTGTAGTGCAGCATGCCTTCTTTGGTGATGGCCCCCTCCGGGGGTGAGCAGTGGCAGGGCACGGGGCCCAGGGACTCATCCGTAGGGTCCTCCCAGTGCACTAGCCCGTAGAAGTGCACGGTCACGGTGGACGCCTGGAGCAGCGGACAGCAGACAAGGCGGCTGGGGTTTGTGCCAGGCCATGGTTCACAACGGCCCAGCACCAGGAGCAGCC